TTCCTTTTATAACAGGTTCCAGATTATTTTGCTGGTGAAAGTGACTAGGATTTTTTTGTTATATATAAGTCAATAATGAAATTAAAATAAATACAACCAAAATGAATATTTACTAAATGACCCATATTGTGAAACAATGTAGATTAGAAAGATACATATTCCCTCAAGAAGCTACAATTTGATTAGTGAAACAGGACAAATTCATGAATTGTAAACAATTAACCCTCTTTTTAAAAAATTCCTCCTGAATCATCTTTCTAAAACACAAGACCAACTTCTGTAATTTTCTATTTAAAGCTTTTCAATGAGAAGAGCTCTTTGCCTAAAGAATAAGTATAAAATCCTTAGAAGGCCAGACAAAATCCTGCAAGATTGGACCCCAAGTCTCATCTCTCACCACTCCAAAACCCAAATTTTGCACTCTTAACAATACACAGTTACTTGGAATACCACCAAATGTTAACAGACAAGATGCTTTCAAGCCCCATGCCTTTGCTCAATCTCTTCTTAAATCTTTTTGCCTTTACCCAACCCCTCTTCTCCCAACCATTCTTCAAAACATTGCAAGTGGCACATGATCTACTACCCACACCCAACTCCTAGGCTGGCTAGTCTTCTTCCTCTGAACTCTTACAATATACAGCACCATCTGCCTAACATTATTATAATGCCTGCCACTTTATATTTAAATTTCATTTACCTGCCTGTCTTTCCCACCAAATTAAAAACTCTCAAGCACAAGGATTTGTTTTATTCAACTTTCTATCCTCAGCTTCTGGCTCAAGGACACTTGATAAATGTTGAAATAAACGCTTATATTACAAAGTTGTACAAAACTAATGTTTAAATCATCTGAGGCAGAGAATAGCATACTGATAACCCAGTCAGTGAAGTATAAGCACTGTTATTTCAAGTATCACTGGGCTGTTACTTCCCTTTCTCCTGCTCTATGCAATACTGGGTATACATGCAATACAGCAGCTACTTAAGCTGTTTTCAGTTAATTTTGAAGCCAAATTTCTACAGTAATGTTTATAAAGCTGAGGATTACTGTTTTCCTATAAAATT